GTTAGATGGCCATAGAAATTTGTTTAATAAACAAATATCAATATTATACACTGTTGCTTTTAAAAGGAACTTGTCTCGGGATGGAAATATTGTAGGTATGCTTATAAGGTAACACAAACATCTTGACCTTACAAGTATACCCAAAGATAACACAGTGAAATCCAACCAAATCTGATTCTTTAATGCAGGGGATTCTAACCTGGGCAACTTTAAACTTCTGAATTTAAACTTTCAGAATTCTTCAGCCAAACCCTTACAAGTTTAAAGTATTTGCTTGCATCTAGTAGACAGAATCTTGACAGACTAAAACTATAACCTTCTAACCTATTGAATATATATACTGGTAGATACTGGGGCAGTGTTTCTCTATTTTGGCAACTTCAAGCTCTGTGAATATCATCTCCCAGAATTCCCCAGCCAGGGGAATTCTAGAATAGAAGTCTGTACAACTTAAAATTGGCAAGGTTGAGAAACCTGTTCTAGAGTGTGGCTACCCTGAACCTCTTTCTCCATCCCACACCCAGTTCACGACCACATAGTTGTTGTTTTTTTTATTTTGGGCCTCTCTCTAGAATGTATTATCATCTCCCTGGAAAACACGAATGCTCTTGCTGAGACTCTCCCCTTCTCCTCCTCCAAGTACACCTTCCATCACAATTGCCTCTTCCATTGCAGACATTGGTATGATGTCACTTATCATTATAGTCAATAATCTACTTGCTACTGTTCTACACAGTTTCTTCCTCCATGAGAAGATTCTCCTTTTCCTTGTTAGCATCTAGAAGAGCTGGGCAGGAGACACTGCAGTGTTGAAAACCTGGCTTGACCATACAAAAGGTTTTACTGACATGCCTGTCTATTTATAACCCATGTTCTTCACTGCTTTTTCTGTCTTTTTATTTACCATAATAAAACTATTAAAGAAAGATAGAAACATTTCAAAATGTTGTGGGTGCTCCATCACTGGAGGTTTTTAAGAAGAGATTGGACAGCCATTTGTCCAGATTGGTATAGGGTCTCCTGCTTGAGCAGAGGTTGGACTAGGTCCCTTCCAACTCTGTTATTCTGTCATTCTGCTTTGTGCTGGGCAGTGCTAGTGCTTTGGTTCCAACTGCTATTGCCAATTCTTTGTGCTGCCATCTATTGTCCAAAGGCAGTAGAGCACCTTTGTCCTCTTGTTTTGCCTTCTCTTTGTCTTTAGTTTTATAAAATTAATAATATGACATGCAAAGAAGATACAAAAGCAAATATTAGGGAAATTAGGACATGAAAAGGGGAAATGGATAGTGGGGGAAAGCAAGGAAAATAGGAAAAAAAGGCATTGCCTTCTAACTCCTTTGGTGCAGTAAAATAAAGCATAACTACCCTCAACTTTTTACTTTTTCATAATATTACATAGTAACTAGCCATTTCTATAACAACACATCTATCTAATCGGCTTCTCAATAGAGAAAGTTGATCCGTGAATTCTTCATCTGACCATTCCCATACAGCTTTGAAAAGAGGAAGTCTTCTGATATTATTCACAACTTACTGTTTATTTTATACATGAAGCTAATATGTAGATTATTTATATTGCTCCTGCTATTATCAATTAATTAAATAATAAGTACAAATTAATTTACTGCAAATCCAGCAAAAGAAAAGGTTTGACTTTTTTTTATATAGAAACTGTTCCATAGAGATTTTTCCATATCAAGCAATTTGCAGAAAGAAGAGCCCCCGGAGCAGGATTTACACCAAAATTAAGCCAAACTTTTACAGAACTGAGAGGTATACTGTACCTTGTATGTGACTCTACACTAGCCTTGCATAAACTTCTGCCCTCTAACCTTGTAGGAATGGTGGCACGTATTGGGACTTTGTCCTAAAACGGTTAGACCGAACACTCGGACCACAATAAAATTGAAAACCAAAAACAGTTTTTCCTTCAAAGGGTGCACAATTCCAGAGATTGTGGGCAATTTTATAAAATTATATAATATAACATGATAACAACAGATATAGAGCATTTTTTCTGGCTTATGGTATTTAAAGTATCTCTCTGTGCATATTTTTTAAAAAGATAACCATTTTTAGTAAAAAATAATAATAGGTGTTTTAACAAAAATAATTTTGTGGATGTTTAAAAGGCTTACCAAATTTTTGTTGGATAAATTCATATTATAATAACTTTGCATCACAAAAATTATGTATTTTAACTATACATTATAATCCAATAATGAAAAAAATTATCCAATAGTATGGTTTATCCAAGAAGAGATATTTTCTATTCCATATTATTTCTGGCTATTAATAGAAAGAATTCAATACCTGCTCTCGCCCTCTTTCTTTCTACCAGAATAGAAAGGGAAGCAGATGCCATAAATTCAACTGAGGTTCATTGACAATTCTTAATTTGGAGCCGTGGGATGGAAAGGTGACTACTTCACTATCTAAGGATGATTTTAGTATTTTTAAATTCAATTCTGAGCCAATTACTAGATGTACATATTGCTCACTTAACAACTACCTTGTTCAGCAATGGAAATTTTTATCCCAATTGTGGTCAAAATTTTGGGACTACCTGCAATTTTGTATATAGAAATATTTTCAGTAAATGAACTGGTAGGAGAATTTTACATAGTTAGTCATAATGATTCTAATTGGCAAATGCGTGGGTATTTCCTATTGCTTTGCTCTTGCAGGCTTTAGTCATATGGGACTGGAGTGATAGTCTTCACCCCTACCTCCAAATTTAGTTATTTTGCGGAGGCATATAGTCAGGAGTGGGATTCAGCCGGTTCGAACTGGTTCAAGCGAACTGGTTCAAGCGAACTGGTAGCTCTGACAATCAGGTGGGGAGCAAACTGGTTAGCTCTGACAATCAGGCAGGCCCACCTGCCTGCCCCTGCTTACCTATATCATCTCAGCTGATTTGTGCGGCAGAGTGGATTGCCATGCCTCAGCTGTGTTACTCCTCAGAAGTAACACGGAAGGTATGTTTTGTTAAAACTGTGCACATGCGCAGAGCGAAGCATACAATCGAATTAGTGGCTAAACCAGGAGGATCCCACCACTGCATGTAATAGCATTGTTCTCCTCCTCATGAACCTTATAGCATTTTTCAAAATAGAATTCTAGAATTTCAAAATACTTTAAGCTTTTCTTCATGCCATTTGTTTCTATCTTACTCATCTAAGCTAAAAGAAACACTGCTTTGTGCATGTATCAGTTGACAGTCTACCTGGCAAACAATTCTTTTATCATGGAATTCATTAAACTAGCAAAAGAAAAGAACTGAATCACTGCCAATGTATTTTGCTTCTTAGTCTGAAACTACAAAGAGACCTCTTGCCATTCATAGTTTTATGGTTAGAGTAGAAGTGTACAGTGATGCTTTTTCCATGCTCAAGAGAGCAACAAGTTTAAGATTGGTGTCACCCTTGTGTATTCTTAATCAAACTCTCTGCTCATTAGAAACTGAGCCGATTAACTCTGCAAGTTAATTTGGCTTCTGTGTAAGAAGGAACGGCTGTGATTATTGTTTTAGCGTTCTTCCTCTAGAGCTGCTGGGCAAGAGATGCGCCCTGTTGTAACTTTTGCCTAACCCTGTTCTGGGATTCTTATTAACTTGCAGGTTTATTCTTCCTCTTCTTCCTCATCAAACGTAGCTCTGTTCCTCCCATAATAATGGCTGATTTCTTTTTTCCCCTCCCTTCTTTTCTCAATGTAAGGAGATAATACACCAAAGTGAAGAGCACAGCTGGGACTGCCTCTTGTTTCTGGTGCTCTCTAATTGGATAGCTAAAGGAGAAGTTGGGAATCTCTGCCAAATGCCAAACAGCCTTGAGAGCTTGAGCAATTCTCTTATTTTCATGCCATACAGCAGCATGAAAATATGTGTGTGGAACGATAGCCATTGGCTGTGTGGAAGGAGTCTGAGAATGAAACTGATTTTCATGTCAAGCTGATCCTTGCTTTAATTAATGTGTGCTGCTGCTGCTCAGGAAGAGAACAATGTAAGACATGGCAGGGAAATGATCCCTGCAGAGTAGATCATTCCACATTGCTGTTGGCTCTCTTCCAGAAGCTCATATGGTTGGAATATTTTGAATTTTGGAATGCTGTTTTTTTTTTAAGCTGTTACTGCAAATTGATGAAGAACTTCATCAAGACATGTTTAAAATGAACTTATGCTCACTTGCTCCCCATGTTTTGATGGAGAGAATGAGAGAGATTGGGTAGCTCCCTGTGAAAGCTTAGAAGAATAAAAGCAAAATCATTGGAGAAATAAGACATGGTAGGAAGGTAGGGAGAACAATATATATTTTCTTCTTCCCATGCAAGGTATTTCATTAAGTATGCTTTCTTTTTAGGCATGCAAATTTAAATTAATCCCCCGTATTAATGCCTGCTGGTAGAGGCATTATATCCAAGATATAATGGATTTTTATATATTTTTTTGCAATAAAGCATGTAACAGGAGTGGGTGGTATGGAAAATATCCATACTGCAGTTCTCCAAATAACAAAACAAGCAGAATAGTAAACAGGGAATGTCAAAGAGAGCTCACAGATAAACCAGCTTTGCTTTCAACTAACTGCTGACAATAAATGAAGAGCACACACAGAACGCGCTCATAGAACAGAAAGAGAAAGTGGATTTGACAGTTGTCACTGACTCTGAATATAGATGAACGTTTTCTAATGTGTTGGCATCCAGATTACATTGCTGGTTGTTGTAGTGCAACGCATTTGTAGGGGAACAGTTTAAAGAAGGCTGCTTCAGATCCCGTACATTTCCCTGAATAATTTCTTTGATCCTTTTTAGAAACACCATGTTTTCCCAGGTTAACCTTTGAATCTGCTCTAGCAACATCCTTTGTGGAAACTCTCTCTTAAAAAAATGTAAATCTCTGGCAATTTAAATATGAAGCTTGATTATTTAAGGTGAAGGAAGGTTCATGGAAAACTGCTCAGGTACCCTTTAGCTTTCTTTATTTTCTCATTTCTCTACAGTGCAATCCTTTACCTGAATGAAGACTTCCAAGGGGGAAATCTCTTCTTCACTGAGATGGATGCTGTCACCCTTACAGTGAGTCTGCCTCAAGCCTTGGATATGGGATTAGGAGAGAAGGAAAGACAACTGGAACTGAATTCACAGCATTTGTCCCTAACAAACTGAGCAATCAGGCAAATTCAGCCACATTTTTGTTGGAAAATACATTAACTTCCTCTGTACTGGCTTTGAGCAATTCTCTTCTTGTCTCCAAAACAAGAAAATGTTTTCTCATCTATAGTGTAACTGACAGTCATTGTATGACCTTGGGAGAATTCTATAGCAAGGAAGGGGAGAACTGTTGATTTATCATTTCTCCCTCTTTTTGGCAGGCTCAAGTGCGCCCTAAATGCGGGAGGCTGGTGGCCTTCAGCTCTGGTGAAGAGAATCCCCATGGCGTGTGGGCTGTGACCCGTGGGAGGCGCTGCGCTATCGCCCTCTGGTATACCCTATCTCAGGAGCATGAGGAGCAGGTAACCAAGCAAAGAAGAGGGTGAAGGGGTGGAAATGGACCCAAAATAAAAAGGCAAAATAAAAAGTAATAGCTGCCAATAAGGCTACAGTGAGGAAATGTAAGAACAGAATCACTGGATAAATTTCCAACTGTCTTGATTTGAAATTACATTATTTCCCATACAAATATTGAGAATAGGTGATAGTAAGAAGGAGACCATCAAATGGTAAAGTGCTTTTCTAACAGGCCTCTCCTTTCTTTTTTCACTTCCTATGTTCTTTCTGGTTGTAGGAACGGGGTCAAGCAGAAAAGCTGATGAGACAGAAAGAAGCAGAGCAGGAACAGTCACATCAAGAAGACACGAAGGACAACAATTTTGAACCTAAAAGTGGGGATTCACCAGAGCCTCCTGCTCCAAAGGGAAGAGCTAGATCCACAAGCCGAAATATTAAATTGGACTCTAAGTCTGGAGTGAAATCCAGGAGGCTGAGAGTCAGAGATGAGTTCTGATCACATTCAGTGCAACCTGGTCTTTTGCAGCTGCTCTTGAGTGACTTTGACAAGTGGGCAGCCTGAGAAGTTTTGCAACTCCTGAGTTAAAGAGTTGCTTCTTTATGGCTCACAAAGTATGAATCAGAGAGTGATACTCCTGGACTTCATCTACTATTTAAACCCGAATATCATGATGTCCCAATAAAGATGCCAAGCTTGTAAACTAATGTAACATTATAGCTAAAACAGACTGAGACACAAATCTTCTGTTCAGATCAGTCATATTAACAGAGGGCACTAGTTCCTCTCATTCAGAAGCCTTCATCTGCAATATAGACATGTTAATACAGATCGACCATTACAGGGCTCTTCTGAGTGGAACAGGGATAATATAAAATGTACTTGTACCCTATTTCCCTTAAAATAAGACCTCCCCAGATAATAAGCCCAATTGGGCTTTTGAGTACATGCACTAAAATAAGCCTTCCCTCAAAAAATAAGTCCTCCCCGAAAATATTGCAACCTACAGCAGCAGCCATGAGGTAACCATCCTCGCCATCTCCTGCACCTCAAAAATAAAAAGACCTCCCAGAAAATAAGGCCAAGTGCTTATTTCGGGGTTCAAAAGATTATAAGACCCTGTCTTATTTTTGGGGAAACACGGTATTACTTTTAAAGTGTTATATTAATTTTAAATATATTCCTTCCAGCTTTCCTCCACCTCCATTTTTGAAGGAATCAAAAGTGGAAAAATAATAAAATTCATTTGTGTGAGCTTTGGGATGGAATGCATGAAAACAGACAATCCATGCTAGACATCTGGATTACAGAAAGGGAAATGTACAGTTAAAGAACCCAGGGTAATCAGAATTATTATCTAAAAAAGCACAGAAAAACAGGTAAATGTTAAGAAGCAGAATTACTATGAGTTCTTTGTTCAAGCTATGTATTCCAAAACAGATTGATAGTCAGGTTCTAGATCAGGGGTGTCAAACTCGATTTTATTGAGGGCCGCATCAGGGTTGTGTTTGGCCAGGGTGGGTGTGTCGGGACCATCTGTGCTGGCCCTAGGGCTCTGCCAGCAAAAATGGGCTCCTGAGTACTGTTTTCAGCTGCGATGGCCTCCTGCCGCCCTCTGCCAGTGAAAACAGCTTGGGGGCACCCCCCTGAGCTCCGTTTTCACTGGCAGAGGGTGGCAGGAGGCCATCACAGCCAAAAATAGAGCCAGGGAGTGCTGCGTGGCCCTCACGAGTTCCATTTGCACTGGCAGAGGCACCGTGGGCCGGTCTTTTGCTGTTTCTAGTGTGGCCCCATGGGCCAGATCTAAGCATCCTGCAGGTTGCATCTGGCCCCTGGGCTTTGAGTTTGAAACCCCTCTTCTAGATAGTCTAATAATGTGCTTTTAAACATATTTTTTCTCAGAAGGTAGTATTCAGGACCCAGAGTACTATATTCTTTTTTTCCTCTGCAATTGCTTGGGTTAACAGAAAGTAACAGAAACACAGACCCCAGAAATTTGGATGTATTTGCATTGTTCAATTTTGATTTTGGAAATACAGGGATTTTTTTTTTTTGAAAGAATGTTTTTTAAGTCAAAATTAAGTAGGATGCAAGTGAAACTGAGGTCAAAGTAAATATTTTGAACAGAACAGCAGTTTAACTCTGGGAAGTAGTGGTCCGGATGAGAGGTACAGCAGGTTGGAGATGATACTTTATCTTTTCCAGCTATTTTTTCTTTGCATTTCCCATTGAAACTAATTGACTTCTGTAATGAAAAACATGTGGCTGGCAACATAGCAGAGAGTGAGGAATCGCGAAGATTGGTGGTGAAGGTGAGAGGAAGGTTGAGAAGAAGGGAGTTAAGGACCTCACACCATTCCTGCCATTTTTCTATGATAATATTCTCTAGCCTGCCATTTCAGGTGAACCAGTACCCGGATCTAAGCTTGCTTCTGAACAGCTGATCTCACTAAGTTTTAAAAGGAAAAGATCTGTAGTAATAAGAGTGAGGGGCAGAAAGGGTAGGGGAAGCAAACCCGCTGTTTATTTGTTAATTTATTTGCCACCCATCTTACTGTGGGGTATTAATAACCCTGGAATAGAAACACTGAACAATGATACCTGTAAGGTAGGGACATCAGAGTACCGATCAGCAAAATTGTTTTAGAAAAAAGAACTTGCTAGTTTCAGATGCCACTGTAAGGAAGACAGTGGCATGACTGGAAGATCCTGATGGTCTGAATACCATGAGAAGAAAACCTATTCGCCTCTCAAAAAGTATATTGGGATGATTTAGACATTCTAAGTTCTCTAGCTAATCTGATATGACAAGTTTTGAAAAGCGTGTATATTTTTCCTTCCAAGAATTTTGTTTCACTGATATAGGCAGTCTTTTAAGTCCAGGTTAGGCTGGACATGGACAATAATGATTCATTCAATGCTTCCCTATCAACAGATAATGCTTTGAGCAGTTTAAAGAGCAAATGGCAAATGGCAAAATTAATATCATGAGTAATAATAATCAAATATAAAATTAATTTAAATGTAGTATAAAACATCTAGCAGATATAGAACAATGAATAGTTCTGTCATTTGTATTGAACTGAAGTGATTTGAAAAAAAATTCCTTGCTATAATGTATGCCGGAATATTTGGACCTAAGGGGGAAATATTCCACTCACTGAAACAACAACTCTCCAGAATATTTTGATATTTAAATGCAAGTCTAACTCCAAAGTCCTTCCATCTTGTGATACTGGAAGAGTGAAATAGTAAATTTGTCTCAGAATAGGTGGGTGGATGGAAGACTTGGGAGCTGGATTTGTATATTATATTGAGAACCTTTACACTAGGTATCCTCTGATGTGGGAGAAACCAATGTTGTTCCTGGTTCATGGTGTATTGTAAGGTAAGGAATGTATGAATGGTCAGAAAGCAGATTTTCTCTCTAATCGCTGCTTCTATCAATTCAGAC